CTCAGAAATTCACCCTAGTGCCCTCCCCTCCCCGATGTTGCCCAGACCTGCTGTGTAGCTGGAGAGTCCCACGTACATGCACAGCTCCTGGCCTTTAACTGAGCCTGTGCTGGGCCCTGCCAGCCCGTTCCGTGCATCTTGCGCTGCTGGTGGTAGGCTGCCTGGCTCTGGCCGTTGGTGACGGCGTCCAGAGCTCTCCCCCTAGGAGGCTGGTTCCCGGATGGGCAGTGACCGAAATCCTTTCCTGGCACTTGGTTCCCAGGTGCAGAGAACAGGTGGCGTGTTTTCAGCACACTCGCACGCAGCCCCCCAGGCATGCCCCTCATGGCAGTCTCTGCAGAGAAGCTGAAGCCCTGGACACCCCAGCTGGGCACGCTAGGGCTGGGGGCAGGCAAGTCGCAGAGTGGTTTGTGGGAGGAGGGGAGCCCAGCTTGCTCTGTTGCTGTCTATTCTGTGCTAGCCATGGGGTGTCCAGGCTGCTCGTCTGGCCCCTGCCCCAGCACTGGGGTTGAGCTTTTCCATCTCTGCTGTCCCCCTCTCCCCACTTCCTCTGCTCCCCTGTTCTCTGTGCACTGACCACCAGTGCATCTTGCTACTGGTTTCTCTTCCCATTAGCTCTCTCTTTAGGTCTCTTCCTGCTTTGCTGGTTTCTTCACACTCTGTGGCTGCAGCTGTGGTGGATCTCTGACATGCCCTCTGGCAGTCTGGCTTTGATGGCTTGATTGAAATGGGGTGAAGGCGAAACTTCTCTGCTAAGAGGCTGGGGGGTGAAGGCCTCTTGCCACTGACCCAGAGAACCAGGCTTCAGTCTCTGGCTGGGATCTGGGACTTTTGGCCCGGAGTCTTTAAAAGTATTGATGTGTTGCTATGCTCAGCACTGCAATGCCTAACTGATTTAGGAGCCTAAATTGCATTAACTGTCAATGGGATTTTGGCTCCTAATGTGTGAATCACTTTTGAAAATGAGCTAAAGGCTCCTAAATCAAGTTAGGCATTGCAACGCTTTGCACAGCACCTTTGACAATCTGGGCCTTTGTCTATAACCAGCTGCCCACAGCCCTGCTGTCTGAATATTGTGATTATTTGTTCCCCTATTGCGGCTTTAAGGTCAACCCAGATCAAGACCTATTCCTGGGATAATGCACAGGTGCTACTGGTGGGTAACAAGTGCGACATGGAGGATGAGCGAGTTGTGGCGGCGGAGAGAGGGCGCCAGCTGGCGGAGCACCTGGGTAAGTGCTGGGTGCTGTGCACCGAGCCCCAGCCTAGGTAACGTGCCGACCCTGCAAGGTTCTGGTTGGCGCCGCTCGGGCCCTTTCAGGATTCAGTCTTATGTGAGCATCTGAGAGGGTTCCAGGCATTGCCGAGCTGTTGGGGCTTTGCGCTGCCTTGCACAAGAGCAGGTCAGAAGCACCGTGGGTAAGTCCTGGGCATGGGAAGGTTCTTTGGCCAGTTGAGCACCAGCATTTGCTGCCCCAAAAGGCATCTGGACGTCCTTGTGCTGAGAGATGGCCGTAACGGTGCCCTGCAGGCCTGGGCAGCATCTTTTAGGGGCCTGACAGGTGTGGGGAAGATGGGGGGTGCTGCACAGAGCTGTAACCCTGCAAGGGGACCTGTGTCTGTGCGAGTGCACACGCGCGTGTGTGGAGGCGGTGCAGTTGTGTGGCAGGCACAGGAGCTGTAACCCTGAGAGGGGACCTGTGTGTCTGTTTCTTTCCTGTAGAGTAATTTAATTGACTCATTGCACTTGCCATAATTCTGTCATTAAGAAGCAGCATGGCTTGTCTTCTAACAAAACTGTAATTGCCGAGCCAGCGCCAGTGTTTTCGATAACTGTTTCTATTATAATCTGTTATTATCACAACCGTATAAACCCTGCGTTTACTGCTGTAAAGTGGTTGGAAAACCAGTCGGCCTGGGTGGATTGAACAGCAGGTTGAACCCAGTTTAGAACGTGGGGCGAGTTTATGGATTTATAACTAAACCCTTTTCCCTGCAAAGTGTCCCATTAAAATTTAACAGCCCAGAGGAGGAGCTGTAAAACCCTTAAAAATTCAGAGACTTTCCATATTTATCATGCACACGACGAGAACTGTCTATAGCCGGCAGGAGCCTGAGTGGCCCCGCCCATGGACTCTGTCACCTACCTGGACGGGACTTGGGCAATCAATGTTAAGTTACCCCCACCCCACATCTTTAAACGGTCAGTCAAGACCCAACTGCTGATCAAAGAGGCGTGGGTATTTGCTGGGCTTTGTAAGGTGGGGTCCCTTGCATGTGGGTCTCACCTGGCTGCACAGAAAACACTCAGCTCTAGGGATGCTGAGCACTGATACTTGGTTCTAAGCTGGTGGAATCCCAGCCCCGGATCTCAGCTCTTGCCGTCAGAGATGCAAAGCTTGTAAAAATGCCTTCCCCTGACTGACCTAGTTAGCTTGAATCAGCAGCTCCTGTGATGGGGAGCAGGAGTCTGAGCTGAACATCCCGGGCCATTTAACAGAGCTGGGGGGTGACTTCGCTGGCCAGAGCGATGGTCCCCGGCTGCTGACGCTGCCTATGCAGCCCCTGCCTGCTGCTGAGGTTGCCTTGTTATTTTCCATGAACATTTGGGGCCATGTAAAAGTAATTACCTGGGACAGATTAATTTCCAGGGTCTTTAATTATCCCAGCTAAAAATACTTCCCAGGGCTTAGGAATCGTTTTTGGTAAGGTGCATTGCAGGGGCCCCTGTTGGTGAGCAAAGGCCCTGCCTTGCCCCAAGTCTCTCCCGGCTGCCAGTCTCACACTCTCCCATCTCTCTTTGGGCAGGTTTTGAGTTCTTCGAAGCCAGCGCAAAGGACAATATCAACGTCAAGCAGACATTCGAGCGGCTCGTCGACATTATCTGCGAGAAGATGTCCGAGTCCCTAGACACGGCGGACCCAGCAGTGACTGGTGCGAAACAAGGGCCGCAGCTGACTGACCAGCAAGCACCCCCCCACCAGGACTGTGCCTGTTAGAGACTGCAGGACGGCCCCCTCTGCCCGCGTAGGCCACATCACCCCTCCAAGTAACCAGTGCCCTAGTTACTCTCAGTTGTGCTCCCACTTGAACACCCCAGTCACGAGGTCTGGTGGGATGGCCCATAGCGAGGAGTTGTCTGTCCGCTCTCACCTGGCAGGATTTGAAAGGGCTCTGGCCACCCTCTCAGAGTCTGCAGGTTCCGTGGGGCGTTGCCCCGCCCTCCCCGTGCCCTCCAGTTTTCCAACCTGGGATGGTAGGAGAAACTTTTTTGTTGTTTGCTTTTAACTATTTCCTGATTGTGCCCCCTTGTTTATAGATAATTGTCTGTCTTGCTGGAAGGGGGGGAGGGGTTAATTGCAGAATCCTGCATTAACCAGCTGACTCAGCTTGGCCAATGTGTTCCTTAGCTTCCTTCCTTCCCAGCTGGATCCCTGCTGCTGGGTGGTGGGAGGAGCCCTGCTCAGGGGACAGCAGCTTAAAGGACTAGAGTCCACCTGGTCCTGAACAAACAGCCCTGCCCCATGGAACCAGAGACCTGCTCCCTTCGCTGTAGTGCTGCTGAGGGGGTGACACACTGGGGTTGCATCGGGGCAGATGTGGATTTTAATCTTGACAATTCAATCACTTCCTAAATGGTGCGTCTAGATCCCAGTAAGGCATTAGTGCAGGTGGTTTGTTCTTCATAGAGATGTGTTCCAGCCCTGTCTTTACACCTCCCCTTAACTTCTCCTTGCTAGCACAGAGGCCTTGGCCGATAACGCTGGCTGGCTGAAGAGCCGCTTGACTTTCATTCCTCTGCTGCTCTGTTCTCCCCCACCAAGGATGGCTAGTTCCTGACTATTGTATAAATAGATGCTAATTTATGCTCCTGCTGTCTTCCTCCTTGTACATAAAAACAACCTTCCTGTAAATAGAAGTAGTGAGTGACCATGGTGTGACATGCTGTGCTGTGATTGTGCAGATGTATTTATTTTATCAGTGTGGTATGAACCTGCTTGTGAATATCACTTTTAAATCTATTATTTAAAAACAAAGCTGAGTAAGGGCCAAGGCACTCCTGTACCAAACTAGCCCCAGCCCGGTGGTGGATGACCAATGGAAACCTCGCGCTAGAGGAAAAACTTTGATGGTTTGCCTCAAGCAAAGAAACAAGCCACCGAACTGCTGCCCCATTCCATGCTGGGGGTGGGGTTGACACCCCACCTGCCCCAGGATGTTGCACTAGCAGCTGAAGGGTGCTAGTTTGCTACAGGCCTCGCTGTTCCTTGTCTGTTACTATAGTAATGTGTTATTGTAGAGACTGTGAAGCAGTAGATCGAATTCTATCAATGCCCAAACCTGGTGCGTTGCTTCCCTCTATTTATTTTTCTTGGCGAACTCTCTCTATTTCGCAGGTACGCACATCCAGCCTCCTGTTTTTGTGATGTTTACTGTAAAAATGTCAAAAGTGTCAAAGTAAAATTTCCTAAAGATCACTGTATCCAAGAGCTGGTGTGAAGAAATAAATCAATGCTAATCACAAGTCCTTCAGGCTCATTTTCCGCAGCCCCATGGGGTGAGGGTCAGGAGCTAGTCCTAGAGCAGAGGTGCCCGAGCACCATACCACTGCACTAGTTCACCTGTCCTGGAACGTCCTTGCTCTGCGAGGCCTAACGGGGGCTAGCACACTCTAGTCTGTGGCGGGAAGGGACCCCATCTACTCCTTTGCTGTTTGCTCTTAAGCCTGGACTGGGGGCTCTTTCTACAAAGCTGGATCTGACTGATCCAGGGTCCCTTCTCAAGCCTGAGGCGTCTGATTGCCTTGCTGAGGCCGAGCTTAGATCAGTGTTTGCAGACACTCAACCTGGCTGCAAGGAAGACCAAATATCTGGTTTCTTAATTAACATTCACCAATCCCATGGTTCTAGTTTTAAGTGAGTAGCCTCCCCACCCCCCTTCCCAACGGGTGAGCTTTAAATTCCCACTGTGGGACACAGTTACTGTTTCAAAAGACAAGCTACATAATTAAGGTCTCATTTAATTATTTTTTTAAGTGACATTTTGGTACATCACGGTTTCTAGCAAAATACAGTTTTCAGACACAGGGAGAATAAATTAAGTTGGTTCCAAGTCATGGGATTATTTTAAGGATCTTGGCTCACTTAGGGATGCCTGGCACCTTGGTTTCAGGTGCAAAACAGTAATGTGCAGCACCTGCCCCACTTCCGCAGAAGTCAGTGGAGGAATAAGAAACTTAGTCATATTAGGCAGCCTGTTGACACATGATTCTTCGTTTTAAAAAGTCACTGGGTTTGCGGCTAGCGAGTTAAATGCTAACTCAGAGAGAGAGCCCCTCATGTTTCTCTTCCACACCCATCAGGATAGGTCAGCCACATGACAACGGTAGTGATTTGTCTCCAGGAAGCATTTTGTTCACTTGATCAAGCTATTTTTTCTGGTCTGCATGGGAGCCAGCTCCCTCCCCCAGGAACAGATGGAAACAGAGCAGCCATCCTTGCAAACAGCTTGTCAGCCCACAGTTTTCACTCCAGTGCGGTGGGGCTGAGTACTGCTCTTCAGCTCAGCCTCAGCACCGAGTGGCTGCTTGTGCTACAGACGCAAGAGAAGAAATTGACTGAACCATGATTCATTAAATGTTTGTTGGAGCAGCAAAGGCTCCAGCACAAGGGGTTAGTGGCTGGGGAGCTGACAGCAGCCTGCAATGGCCTGTCTGGGTAATACTGACCCTGTGTTTGAGATAGGAAAGGTATGTGTCCCAGCCCAAGGTCAACACGTTCACATATATCACCCGATACTTGGGAGGAAGGAACAGGAAGTTAATCACCTGAGCTGCTGGCCAGATGCACCAGTCTGCCTGGAAAAGAGAATCAAGTATTAAGAAAGGGGAGAAAAGGCTGAGGGGGCAGGGAAGCTATCAGGGATTCGGAGCAGCCTTACCTTGTAAAATTCCCAGAACTTCTCTCTGAGCTCGTCCCAGCTTTCCTCCAGCCTCTGCCCCTCCAGTAACCCCATCCCTGTGCAAGGCACAATTGGTTGCAGGTGAGTGAGTGAGCGAGCAGCCCTGGCCCCCTGCTTTACTAGTGCACCTTTGTTCCTGTCCCCTAGTGGTCATCCCGAAAGTTGTAGCAACCGATGAAGTGAGCTGTAGCTCACGAAAGCTCACGCTCAAATAAATTGGTTAGTCTCTAAGGTGCCACAAGTACTCCTTTTCTTTTTGCAAATACAGACTAACACGGCTGTTACTCTGAAACCTGTCATTGAGCCAGGGAGTGTGATCTTTAGTCTCAGCAGGCCAGGGACTTTGCTGGCTCAGGTTTCCCCAGCTATATGGGGAGCTTAGTAAGGCAGGGAGAAAAGGCAGTGGCCATGCTTTCATCTAGTATGGCAGCCACTAACCCATACCTGCCGTGAGCTCTCTGTGTTTATCAGGACAGAACGTGCCTCCCAAGGGCTCTGTTCTCCCTCTCAGCTCCATGGGGCAGTACAACCCCCCCATGCCCCAGCTAACGGGAAAACAGGACTGGCTGGAGGAGAGTGAGCTCTCTGAGTCATTGCAAATGCAGCTGCTTAATGCACATGTTGGAATAGAGCCTGGGCACTACACCCACTCCCCAGCCAAGGCAGGGAAACACTTCAGGGGGAAGGAGCAGGCCTGCTTGGTGCAGAAGGGTTTCAATGCTCCCCGACTGATGAGTGTTGGAGAGGGCACATGTTTGAATAGTCTATTAGTAACATTTACATGAGAAAGTGATATTAAAAGTTTTACCCAGAAAATACCAGATTCCAAAGGCTGGAGATGCTACTATCTGGTCAATGAAGACTTTCTTCAGGACAATTTTAATTCCTTTTAATCCACTTGCAGGAAATGCTCTGTCTAACCAGAGATACCAGTAATGCACTAACGGGCCCATGCTGCAGCCAATAGCAAACATCCGAACTGCAACAAAATGCCACCTTATTAATAAATACAAATGCCCAGCACAATGCCATCATGCATTATTGACACAGCTCTGTAAGAATATCTGTCCCTTTACAAAAGGCGCATGTACCCTGCCTCACACAAGGACACAGAGACGCATGGAGATGATGGCAGATTTCAGTCTAGAATATTCTGAATGTTGCTTTGACTCCCTGCAAAAATGGCCTTAAAAGCAGAATGGTTAAAACAGCAGCAGTTCCCCAAGGGTCGGATGTTGTTGGGAAGTTTGGTCTCAGCAGATGACAGACAGCTGCCACGGTTCACGCACAGAAGGAAGACTGACCTAATAAGCACTAGGCAGAGAGTAGGTATGATCCCCAGATCTACCACTACTAAGCGATGCTGGGGAACTCACCTCATCCTCTCTGGGCCTCAGTGCCCATCTGTCTGGCTGTGACCTCTTCAGGGCAGACATTCTCACTTGCTATGTGTATGCGGCTTTACCCAGCAGAGTGGAGCCCCTTCGCTACCACAATACACATAATAAATAACAGAGTAGACCCCACATGCTGTTTCCAGCCCCCTACTCCCACCCAATGCTGCTGGCAATACAGGCCAAACAGCAGGAGAACTCTCAGGCTGGGCAGAGCCAGGCATGAAAATGCCCCTCATTCCATTTAAATGGGTCAGAGGCAGCTGGTAGGTCCTTTCCGGAGGCAGAGGGAGACACTAGAGCCCTGTGAGTGGTATGTGCCCACCCCTCCTGTGGCACAACAGCGGACACACCTGTGCGGCCCAGCTCCCGCTTCCGCTCCGGGTCCTTCCTCATTTGCCACGTCTGCTGGACGGTGTCGCCAGTCGCCAGGAGAGCCCCGCAGCTCAGAGTGTTTGTAACCAGGAGCAACCGGCCTCTGAAAAAAGGCTTCCAATACCCCGAGAAGCCAACGAACATCTGTCTGCCACGGGCCAGCATCCTTCGCTCAGCAACAAACCCTCAGCAACCAGGTTGCACCAGCTGCGCCTGCGCCAAAGAGAAACAAAACGTCGGGGTGCTTGGCACTGCGCCAAACTGCTGCCATTGCCCTGGTCAGCCTGGCCTGCTCGTCCCCAGCTCTGTGCCCCACATGCCCACCACGAGTCCCTGCGCCCAGCTCCACACGAACCCCGGGGCGGGGGGCTCCCCTGACCTGCCGGGCCCCACCCCTCGCCCGCTCTGCACCCCAGAGCGCCAGCCTGCAGGGCCACACAGGCCTTGGGACGCCCCCTTCAGCCCGAAGTGCGCGTCTCCCCCTCCTCGCCACAGGCCCTCCCCCCACAAGTGTCCTGTACCCCTCTCCCCACAGCCCCGTGGCCCCCTCCTGCCACAAGTGTCCCGTGCCCCTCCCCCATAGCCCCTCCCCCACAAGTGTCCCGTGCCCCCCCCCAACAGCCCCATGGCCCCTCCCAAGTGTCCTGTGCCCCTCCCCCCACAAGTGTCCTGTACCCCCCGCCCTCCCCCCGGTGTGTGAAACGTCTCCATTTCCACCAGGTGCGGAGTGCAGCCTGGGCGGGGAGTCGCGGGGCAAAAGGCAGCACCGCGGGGGGGGGGGGGCCCCCGGGGGGGGGGGGCGGCTCGCTCAAAGCCGGATCCGGGCGGCTCCCGCGGCCCCGCCCCGCCTCAGGGCCCTGGACGCCCCCGCCCCCGCCCCCGCCCCCCTGACCCCGGAGGGTCCCGTCTCCTGGGTCGGCTCCGCTCAGCACCTCGCTCCTGCCGGCTCCCGCCGCGCCCCGTCACGTGACGGCGCTGCGCCTTCCGCTTCCGGGGGCCGGCGGCCGGTAACCCTAACCGCCCCCCCGCCCCGCCGCTTCCCGCCATTTCCCGCCGCGGGCACCGGAGGCCGGAGCAGCCGCACGTCGCCGGGCAGCGCCGAGCACGGGGACGGTACCGGGCCTGGCGGCGCAACTGGGCTCTCGGCCGCCCCCCGTCCCGGCTCCTGCACCCCCCCCCGCTCCCGCAGGGGGTTCTGTGACCCCCCCGTCCCGGCTCCTGCCCCCCCAGGGGCTCCGTGACCCCCCCTCCCGGCTCCTGCACCCCCCCCGCTCCCCGAGGGGCTCTGTGACCCCCCCCGCTCCTGCCCCCCCCAGGGGCTCTGTGACCCCCCCTCCCGGCTCCTGCACCCCCCGCTCCCCCAGGGGCTCTGTGACCCCCCCGTCCCGGCTCCTGCCCCCCCAGGGGCTCTGTGACCCCCGTCCCGGCTCCTGCACCCCCCCCGCTCCCCGAGGGGCTCTGTGACCCCCCCTCCTGGCTCCTGCCCCCCCGCTCCCCCAGGGGCTCTGTGACCCCCCCTCCCAGCTCCTGACCCCCCCAGCTTCCCCAGGGGCTCTGTGACCCCCCCACTCCCAGCTCCTGCCCCCCCTCGCTCCCCCAGGGGCTCTGTGACCCCTCCTGCCTCCGCCCCCCTCCCCGCCCACTCCCCCACCACCGCGCTCAGACAGGGGTGCTAGGGGCCCCCAGCCCAGCAGGGCGCGGAGCCCGGGCAGCTGCCGTTGAGCGTTCTGATGCCCGTGGGCTCACGGCCTGCCCATGCGGCTGGTTGGGTGCACACCAGGCCGTCTGCGAGGGAGTCAGCTTCGCCCCGCCAAGGGCGGTCACAGGACATCACCGCACTGCAGAAGAGATTGCGCTTCTTCCCGCCCAAGCAGCCCATCCCGTGGGCCCTCTGCCCACACCCAGCCAGGCAAGGCACCTGACCATGCGGTTCAGCGGGTGCTTTGGAGTCACCAAGAAGTGCTCAGCTTTTCCTTCTAGGCTGTGCCATTTGAGTTCCCCTCTTGTAACCGTTTCCTGGGTTGCCGAGTGCCTTCTCCTCCCGGCCACCCCCTCTGGAACACTTCTCACTTCCCCTCCTGTGGCCGTGGAAGCAAGGAGCCAAAGGGGTACATGTGGGTCCCGCTCAGGAGGTGAAGGACATCCCCTCTGTCCTGGTGATCCTCCCAGCTAAGCTGGGCAGTGCGAGGGCCTCAGCCTGTCAGCAGCTTAACTGCAGTTTGCAAGACCTTGCAAAGAGCCCTGTAGAAGGCCATGGGCCCCTGCTGTCAGGACTGGGCTCAGCAGCTACCACATCAGGGGTTAGGCAAATGCAAGGCTACTGCAGTAAAACCACAGGGAACTCGTGACAACACTTAAATACACTGAGCGTTTCCTGAGCTCAGTCCAGTGGAAGTTCCCCAAGGCACAGAGAAGGCATCTGGCCCCCAGAGCTAGGTCTCTGCCCCTCCCCCCAATTTGGTCCAGGCTTCCTACAGCACTGTTTGGCTATGGCACAGAGAAAAGCATCGCCCCAGGGGAGATGCTTCCAAGAGCCCCTCTTTAGCTGAAAGCTAATGCCCATGTTTGTGATAACCGTGAGCAAGGTGCCATCCCTACCCCGTGGGTGAAGTGAGAGCAGCTGCACCCGAGGGACTGTTACATTTCCCCAGTGTAGACATGGCACCAACATCCTCACACCAGCCTTGCCCCTCACCCCTCCTCCCACCCCCCAGCCCTGGGCTCAGGGCTAGACGCAGGAGAGACCCAAAATGAGAGAGAACTAGGCCAGGAAGTTACTCAGTAGATTCATTTGCAGGAAGGGCATTCCTACCCTGAGTCCCAAAAATCTGCATTTGTGACATCAACACAATTAGAGCAAGTAGAAGGGAGTGTACATCAGGCTTGGGAGGGCAAAGCACTGGTCTGTTTGCGTGGAAGGAGGATGGGGCTTAGCGACACAGAACCATTTCCTGGAGGGGCCAGTGGGTGGAGGACATGGAGATGTCAGCGTTTGGAGAGGCCGGTGGAGCTAGTTCACATAAGGCATCAGTACGGGCAAAGGGTCAGGTGTCAGGCACAAAATCAGCAAAGCAAATGTAGCGTGTCCCCCAAGATTTGCTGTGCTTAAGGCTTGTCCCCCTCTGGTCACAGCACCCGGCAAGCTGCGCAGCATAAAGCAAGATCTTCAGCCAGTCTTGCTGGTGCCCAAGGCCGGGGCAAAGCAGGGCAGGTGTGGGGCCCCATTCCTGGTTTGGACTGTCTGCTGTGAGAGGCGCAGGTTCCAGCCCAGGGATGGGGCACCTCCTCGGAGAGTGAGCCGGAATGTACCCTCCCTTATTTCATCTCGACAGAGATCTGGAGAGGGAAGAGCCGAGGGGGTCAGGGAGTTCCCTGATGTGGATAGTTGCTCCTGCGCTTTCAATGCGGTGTATTCGACACACTTACACTGGCCGAGATGTCTGGAAGCCCTTCCAGGCCCATGCTGCCCAGCTGCTCAGCCAGGCTGCCTACTGGAGTCAGGGTGACCAGATGCCTCTCTCCAGCAGAACTTGCTCTTTTAATCGACTCTCCAGCTGGTGCTGCTCCCTGACCTCTGCAGGGCTCCTGCTGCTGCTCTTCCTGATTACAAGGCTGGGCTCTCCCTAGCACAGCTCCTGGTGCTAGACACCCTGCGTGAAGAGATGCTTCGAATTCCCATGTCCAAATTCAAACCATCTTGTGCCTTTTCTCCCATCAACCCCCCCCTCACAACTGAACTGCCCCCACCTGCAGCAGAGTTTACTGGGCATGAGCCCAGAGCTGACATCATACCAGGCAAAAATACATCCCCTGCTGCCTCTGGCTGTCTGGTCACCCCAATTGCAAGGCCAGGAGCTGGGGTGCAGGGAGCTGCCCTAGGCTGGGGGTTAATTCAGGCAGAGAGACTGGGTCTTCAGAGGAACTGGGACTCAGCCCCCCCATCTTTGCAGGCATCTGGCTTTTCACCCTGCAAAGACACAGATCAGTCAGGGACCCTCACGACATTCCAGACACCGGGAGGGGCGTAGAGAGGAAATGGCTGCAGTCGCATTGCTGGAGCACTAAGCCTCGGCCCCTGCCCTTGCCTTGCTCCCCTCCCAGCCGGCCCTGGCCTTTAGCCCCAGCGGGCACCCTGCCAGGGAGGCAGGCAGGCTCGAGCTGCTTGTTCTTCGGGCAGGCAGGACAACAGCTATTCCAGCAGTTCCACCAGTAGAGGGGCGTCCCCGAATCTGGCTAGTGGGCATCCTTTGGGCATGAGCTGGCCAAGGTGCTACTGCAGCTCATTGCCCAGAGCCTGGGGAGCGGGGCGCTGTGACCGTGGTGCGCTGGGAACAGCTGCCCACACAGGGTTTCATGCATTGCCAGGGTCCACTCACCGTGTACATCTCACAAACCATCTTGAACAGAGCACTCTGCGCTCGCTCCTGGAGAGCGTCTGTGTGTTTCTGAGCAGGAGAGAGAGAGGACAAATCGGTGTCAGCAGCTGGACAAGCCCATTCCCAGGCTCGGCCTCTGGCTGGAGAAGGCAGGCAGGTGCTCAGTAATTCCTCCAGGAATCTAGACATGCCTTTTGCTAGGGCTGCTGCCTGGAACACGAGCGACAGCTCTGCAGCGCTTTGCTCCGGACGCACAGGACGAGATGGAGCGAGATCGGATGGTGCTACCTGACTGCGTCAGTCGCTACCTGCATGGTGCCCTCAGCATTCACCGGGGTCCCTGTTTGAGCAGCTGCAGAATGGGTGTGTTTCTTGTCAGCACAAAACCAGGGCTTGTGTCTGAGCACAGCGCAGCCTCTTGTGGGCTATGGCTCGGGTACAGAACATGCAGCCCGCCAGGGAAAGTCAGTGTGAAATCCCCTTGCGGCCCAAGGCCCAAATCATTGCGCCCATGGGGGACATCGGTCACACCTGGGCCAAGTGGGTACAATGTGTCACCTGAGCAAAACAGCAGCATCAGGCCCCCACGTGGCCCAGGTGTAAGTGACGCGACGTGGCGTCAGGCAGGGGAGTGCCACGCCTCAAGCAGGACGGGCTCAAGGGGACACAGCAGAACTGCATGCAGGGAGCTCACACCGCACCTGGCTGGAGCCAGTCCCTTGGATTCAGTTTCCTGAGCAGATTCACCCCAAAGCAAGTGGATGTTCACAGAATCATAGAATATCAGGGTTGGAAGGGACCTCAGGAGGTCATCTAGTCCAACCCCCTGCTCAAAGCAGGACCAATCCCCAATTAAATCATCCCAGCCAGGGCTTTGTCAAGCCTGACCTTAAAAATATCTAAGGAAGGAGATTCCAACACCTCCCTAGGTAACGCATTCCAGTGTTTCACCACCCTCCTAGTGAAAAAGATTTTCCTAATATCCAGCCTAAACCTTCCCCACTGCAACTTGAGACCATTACTCCTCGTTCTGTCATCTGCTACCACTGAGAACAGTCTAGATCCATCCTCTTTGGAATCCCCTTTCAGGTAGTTGAAAGCAGCTATCAAATCCCCCCTCATTCTTCTCTTCTGCAGACTAAACAATCCAAGTTCCCTCAGCCTCTCCTCATAAGTCATGTGTTCCAGTCCTCTAATCATTTTTGTTGTCCTCCGCTGGACTCTTTCCAATTTATCCACATCCTTCTTGTAGTGTGGGGCCCAAAACTGGACACAGTACTCCAGATCGAATAGAGGGGAACGATCACATCCCTTGATCTGTTGGCAATGCCCCTACGTTTCCTGCCCCTTTGTCTTCACTGCAGGGCAACCAAGGGCAGCCAGATGAGGCTCATGCAGCGGCAGGGCCTGGCTGCTGAGATAAAGCATTTCCTCAAAAACTCTGCAACAACTTTCACCCTTCGCTTCACCACAAAGACAGGCTCTGTGGGTGCTTCTGAGAGCCGTTCATTCTTCCCAAATCCCACAATGCATTGCACTCAAGTCACCTACCAGAGCTAGATACCAGGTGCATGGGCTCCATAGCATTAACAGGCATGTGCTTTGGGACGGCCCCCCGTATTTCACATGTTA